TGTATAGATGAATCTATATATGTACCCTGATTTACATTTGGTCCATTTATTTATGAATTCTTTAATGCATTTCAACCATTTGTTAATTGTTATCAATATTTCTGTATGACTTAACGAAATGACAGAATAATAATTGTGATAACATTTTTATCCTCTTTGTTATATGGTTTTTACTTCTTGTAGGAATGCAGAACCATTCCTTATCTTGCATATCATCAAAGGTTAGTTCAGTCTGAACTCAGTAAGATTTGATCAAGACCAACCAATGGAAGAAGATCCTGGTGATGTCAGACATATATCGGAACCACTTAATCAGCTTTTCCATGTGCCGAATAGTGTTGACCAATTTATGTCTTGGTAATCAGCATTACAATAACAAGGAAAATGAGTTTTAATATATCGAAAAAAAAATGGGCATCACAATGTGTTACATTCGAGAGAGAACATCAAGTCTTGTACCAGATACAGCACCTTCAACTGTTTTTGGCTTTTTACACTGAAGGCTGGGATGTGAAAACTTGAAAATCATCTTAACAATTTTCTACTAAAGTTAGGGACAATGATGCGATGAAAGTATTTAGACAGGAAGAATGGTTCCCACATATATATCACAGATAAGAAGTCATATTCACAGTCTATTCAGCTTACCATCACTATGAAATAAACCAAAAAATCATGAAATGGTCAATATTGCTTTAGTTTAAACATATGAATTTGTTTATTGCTTTGGCAACTAAAGAGAATTGACTGATAATCTACAAAAATGTATGTAATAAAATTGAGAATGGAAATGGGGAATGTGTCAAAGAGACAACAACCCGACCATAGAACAGACAACAGCAGAAGGTCAAAACAGGTAACCATTGATGTATACATACCCAGGATATTATTATTCACCATATTCTTTGATAGATGTAAAGAATCACTTGATAATGTATAGTTTTTTTATATGGCCATTTACGGGACGTATTATGGTACACCTATGTCCGTCTGTCTGTCATTTCTTCTGTCTGTCCATCATCAACATGCCAGACAATAACTCAAACATGTCAAAAGTGCTTTAACCAATTTGCATTAAACTTGGTGAATTGTTGATATCAATTGAAATAAGTTTTATTTATGCTCTGTCTATATAAAAATCCCTCCACAGCCCACAAACTAAAGCATACAAGTAGTAAATAAATCTATATGCTCTTTAGTGTTTTTTTTCTAAATGTCTGATATGACATTGAAGAGATATGGTATTTTATTCGTGTACTCATGGCACAGCTTTTTATTTCTAAGCTGACATAGTAAGGACTAAAATATCCTCAGCAATGCTTAAAATTTAAATTTATAATTATCTGACGATAGAAATACATAAATTATCTAATCACAAAGGAATATTCTGTTCCACTAAATCTCTTTTTTGCGAGTATTCTTTTAATATGAATACTGTGACTGGAATCATGTGAATGGATTAATATCGCAAAACATAAGAAATTACATTCTGATATGTGACACATATATCTGCATGAAGCTTTTCCTGAATTCACGATAATTAATCTTTTTTGTTCAGTGAGGCATCAAAAGTAGCAATGATAAATACAGGTAAAACATGTCTGAATTTACAGTATTAGAATCAATTTTCAAAATTATCAAGAGAATCTTTTTACATGTTGTATATCCAAAATAAATAGTGCAGATATCAGACAGCAAAAAAGTGTTTTTAAACAGTTAAGATTTTATTTATGCTCTGTTTATATAAAAATCCCTCAACAGCCCACAAACTAAAGCATACAAGTAGTAAATAAATCTATTTGCTTCTTCATTGTTCAGTTGATTAAAAAAAATATTACAATCATGCCGCATGCTAAAATGATATTCAGACCGAACCAACCAACCTAAATTATCTTTAATCACCAAACTTTATTTTCTAACCACTACACAAACATATCATTCTTTGTGCAGGTCTCTTTTTAATTTTTTTTTTTGTAGACCAAATGTCTGGTAGAATTGATTTGTCGCAAAAAAGTTTTATTCAAATTTATCTAAAGATCATATGGCAATGCCACCAAAACACAATGATTTTTTTAAAATTTCCATAGCAACCAAGATGTTTTGAAAGATCTTCAAAAAGATTATTTGATTTTATGAAGTCTCTCATATAAAAACCAAATTTAAATGTCAATTGAGAATTAGTCACTTTTTGCATTATTGAATTTATTTATTTATTTTAAAATAGTTGCTTCATTGTCTCAATTTATCAGTTTAAAAAAAAGTAGGTACATCTGATTGCAAATATTTTCGATAATATTCAAATGCAAAGCAAAACTCTGATTACATTTTAATCAACTTTCATGTTTCTGTTTTATAATTTAACATTATTTGATTTCATAGAAAAAGGCTTTGTTAACAACAAACTAAAATGGGATGTTTAGACCCCTCCTCCAATCATCTTAAAGCACCGAGCTTCATTTTCTAAATAAAGGCAACAATAGTATACCTCTGTTCGAAATTCATCAATCGATTGAGAAAAAAACAAATCCGGGGTTACAAACTAAAACCGAGAGAAACACATCAAATATAAGAGGAGAACTACGACACCACAGAAATACAACAATAAAATGTAACACACACAGAAACGAACTATAACATAACAATGGCCATTTTCTTGACTTGGTACAGGACATTCTAAGAAAAAAATAGTGGGTTAAACCTGGTTTTGCGGCTAGCCGAACCTCCCGCTTTTATGGCAATGTTAAATATGTAGGACTCGGAGGTGCGCAAGGGCCGCTGAAGTGCAATCGTCACGCTGAAGTGCGATGGTCACGCTGAAGTGCGATGGTCTACGCCGAATTGCGATTGTCCGTACGCTTATGTGCGATGGTCTATATGACGCATGATTGTAAGTTTAAAATCTACAGACATGCAATCACGAGCAGTATTTTTTTTAATATTAAGTATACAAATCTACATTCATTATTCATGGTCTATGGCTGTTCTTAATCACAGTTGCATACTAAATGAGAGATCGTACTCTTTGATTCAGAATCTTTTGTAAATTTCGAAAACAAAAATCGCTGCAAAAGATTAACTTACCAATCCGCCAATCCTTCCCGTTTCTCGTAGTTTTAAAAGTTTATAAGCCCCTTATCAACTTAAAAACCTGGAAAACTGCTTTTAACATACAAATTGATATCTACATCTACATGAAAAGTAATGGAAATGTAGTAAGTGTAGACCGTCGCACTTCAGCGTTACCATCATCGCACTTCAGCGTAGCTATCAACAAGCTATTTAACACTGCATATCATTTCTTTGTGGTCTATTTTTAAATAATTCTTATATAGACCAAATAATAATGTCTAGTAGAATTGATTTGTTGCAAAAATGTGTCATGGGTTTTTTTTTTACCTTAATCTCAATTTTTTTTTGCCAACGGAAAACACACAGATATTTGTAAAGACTTATTTGACTCTCTTATGATCTGAGTAATAACTCACTTTCAGTGTTCATTTTGAATATATTATAATTAGTAAGACTTAAATAAATTTTCAGAGTTATCTGCTCTTGGTTAATTTCAATTTTTTTATGGCAGATATGGCTATGAAGAGGTCCTTGTATTATATTTTACATATGATGGCACTGCTGTTGATAATATCTTTATTGTTACATTAAATATTGTTTCAACATATGCCTATTTTGTGTATTTTCTATTGGTTTTCATCTGAAAATCGATAAATTTAAGGCATTTTTGAGAAAATAGGAAATTTGGAAAATTGCCAAATTTTCAGAGTTTTCTGCACTTGGTTAACTTCAATTTTTTATGGCAGATATGGCAATGAAGCGTTCCTTGTATTATAACTTACATATGATGCCACTGTTGATAATATCTTTATTGTTACATTAAATATTGTTTCAACATGTGCTTGTTTTGTGTATTTTCTATTGGTTATCATCTGAAAATCGAAAAATTTAAGGTGGCGCCCCCTTCAGCCAAGATATATAAATCAGACCAAAAGTTTATATTTATTTACAATATATATGGTAAGGTTAACCTACAAACAAGATTTCATAAAGATTGGCAAATGTTGCTTCCGGACTTTTTTTCACATAGACAGGCTCTTTAAAAATAACAATAGTGGGCAGGTGGCTTGTTTCTATTATTCATGTCGCTTTTCTCTTGAATTCCCTCCAATCATTTTTTAAAGGGTCAATTTGTGTTTCAGCAATCCGCTTGGCCCTGTCAATGCCTGCCAAAGGAAGGAACTATTATGAAATGTATAAAATAAATCCTCTTGAAATAAATGTCACGAAACAATCTTTCCACAAGGATTATTCTTAAGGAAATTGTCTATAAAAATGTTTCTGTTATAAGAACTATACTTTGACATCAGTATACTACTATTCAGTTTAAAAATAAACTCAAGATTAAATTCATACACAGGTAATTTAAATCACTATTCTGTTTTGATGCGATACCCACACTCAAAGTCTTATTTGTCATCCTCAAAGTCAATATTGGTCCGTTTGCAATTTCTTAATTACATTATTTACTCTTTTACTTTTACGCGTAAAATACTTCAAGATTGATGTAATTTGAAAACATAGAGAAAAAAAAAAATGAATATTACTTTCTATGTTCAAATGTGTAGTTTACGCAATACTATCCTGGTTTTCAAGTTTCTTTATCTTTCTAAAATAGGATTGATTACTAAAAAGTAATTGACTGATTATAATTGAACGCAATTTTCAACACTATTCTAGTATATCGTGGCTGTCAATTCTAATTAGTGAAGTAAGCCAGTATGCCCAAGGGAAATAACCAACCTTCCTTTAAAAAAAATACTCACAATCTTAATCAACTAAGACTCATTTGTTTTAACAGTATAAGATACATGTTTATCTACATGGTTATACAATGATACGTAACATAAATTATACGAGCGAGTATTGTGGTAACTACATAAAAAATTATTTAAAAAAATGAAAGTTAATTATTTAAAAGGAAAACTAACCTCAGCTAGACCTTATCATACATTCCACCATTTTTATTGATCGAAACAAAATTGTCTAGTTCAATTCCTACGCTATAAAAGAAGTTCGTTATTATACCTGCGTATACCTGTTTATTGACACTATATAATTTAAATGTTAAAATGTTATAAATACCTTTGGTTTATAGTGTTGCATGGTATATGCCATTATCGATTGCCACTTACTTTACTTGAGAGGATCAATTTATCGTTTTCGCTGGTAAATTATATTTATAGACAAATATAAAGATTGTTTGTGGTGACATGCATTATCATTTGGTGCAAATATAATGTTGATAAAGTCATTCAGAATGCTGAAGTTGTTGTAAACTTCAAGGCATACATTTTATGTTTTTTATTAAGTATGAACATAGTTGATATTCGTGTTCAACATTTTAAAAACATTTACTCCTAACAACAACAATAAAAGCCCTATTTCTCGTATCAAACATACGCTTATTGAGTTCACCAGGGAATTTGTTTTTGTTCCAGCTGATAAGAATGCTGATATTATTATTATTGTTTGACGTAAATTTTAAATTGATGTTCTGCAAAACATGCAAAAGGAAATCACCAATTCATCAACATTCAAACTGACTCTAATTTCTGAAAATAACATTTAAAATAAACGAAAACTTGTACACGCAGAACTAAATACAATGACAGTATCAACTATGTACTGGGTTTCGAAGCTGCACAACACACGAGTTATTTCGTCTTCAATCCATTGTTCCACTATAGACACAGACAAAGCTCATTAGCAAAAATACCTGCTGAAATATTACTGACATGAAATTTGATACTTGATAGACCTGGGAAGTCCTATTTACATGATTTTGGTTTACAAAATATGGTGTCTTAATATTACTTTAAGGGGCACTAACTGTGAATTTCATGTTCACCGATTTGAATAAAATTGATTGATAACATACTTAAACCGATATCGGTATTACAATGAGTCTAAAATAAACAGCTAACAAAGCATGTACTCGATAATATATATCAGAACTTTTCATAATAATGTAGTAACAAAAGCTCTACTTAAAAGCCTTACAGACAGGACATTCTTAATTATTGATACCAAGTGTCATACAAACAATCCAAAACAATCAGCCAACACATAGGAAGATAAGGTATAATTATCAATGTGACAACTAGCTACCAAGTCAGTGATTTCTACTCAAACGGGCCATGTTTTGGACTAGGCATGTTATAATAATCCTTGCAAATAGCTAACTATCATCAAGTTCAGTACTAATATTTTTGTAATTTCCACTCGAATTTCTAGAATTCTGACTCTTGAAACTTCTTTTGTGTGATAGATTATAAATGTTAGAAACTACAGCTGCATCTTGTTTCCAATATTTATAACCTTTTATCACACAAAAGAAGTTTCAACAAGAGTCAGAATTCTAGACAGTTTAGTGATCATGAGTTTTTTTGAGTTAAAATGAATACATTACTTGCACTCTTCTTATAATCTCAACTGTCTTATTGTCTTATTTCATCAAAACTAAAATCTATTTTCTTTTTAATTTATTTATCAAAAAAAATCTTTTTGTTTTTCTGTTGACCTATCGTAGAAAACTTTCATGTCATTTTGTCTCTTGTGGCAGATCGACACATGTAGAATGTACCTTTAAAATGTAACAAAGTAGTAAATGAAGTACAAATGTACTAGACATAAATGCACTAGTATTCCAAAAATTGTGACATAAAAACTTACATCTTGTCAACCTACATATATGGACATAAAATGTACTTTTATCAAATTATATACTTGTGATATATGATGATTCTTGTGCAGACGAAACGCACTGCTAGTGTACTACACTTTGGTTTTGCATATATGAGACAAGTATGATGAGTTATAACTATTCACTACATCTTTTTAGTTGGCGTCTTTGTAAGATTAACATGTATATGCGTTTGCATTTTTTATTCAGTTGTTATATTTGTCTGTGAAGAAAGTTTACTCACTTTTAACTTCTGGATTTGTGACGCAGCGGAGTGGGCAATGATAGAAATTCAAATTACTTACATACATCATGGCATTAAAATAGTCCATTGAAAATCTACAATCATGTTCTTTTCTGTTAAATGTATCGTTAATATAAAAGCTGGTGCCATCATGCATTAAACCAAGGTCAAAGATCATCACTATAAAAAAATCCTTAATTCATCTTGGGAAAAAGACCACATTTTTTTTTCTTCAAAATCAATAATTAATTAAATAATGCATACAAGTAGTATCATTAATAAATGCTTAAGTTCCGATTTAGATATGTACATGACTTCCATTTCATCATTTGAGTTGTCTTGATGGTATTTTCTGTGGTTGGTTTGCACAGGCTGATCAGTGTATTGCAAAAGCAATGCGTGTTCATATCAGTCATTGTGATTACGCTGACCTTACATATAAATTTTGTAATGATTTTACTGGAGTCTGCAGTTTTTTTTAAGTTTTAACGTAACTCATTAGTGCAGCATATATATACTAGTTGGGTTTTTTTTATTATGAATTTCTTTTCATTTGCACATGAACATAAAAATAAGTTATACACACTTTTATGCACAATAGTTATATACAATAAACAGAAGATATATAACATATTTGATAGACACAGATGTTATAGTTTGGTACATTGCAGAATATAATTGCAAGAGACAGGCTGTTTGGATATAAAATATATACAATATATGTGGTGTCTATTGATTTTTTTTTTTTGTATTTATAACAGTAAAGGAGTCCAGGGGTTCCAGCAGCTCTCTGCCCTACTGAGTATCTTATTTTTATAAAATATATTTTTTTCTATTAATAATTTTTCTTTTAATTAATTTTTTAGTGCTATAATTATGGTTTGTTCCATAGATAATTTGCTTCTATAAATGTAGAATTTTGTTAACAGAAGTATTAAGTTTCTTATGTAATATTTATCTTTTTTTGTTAGAATTCCAAATAAAACCAAATCAATATTTAAAGTTAGTTCTATTTCTGTCTTTTCAAATATCCAGGAGTTAAGGTCTTTCCATAATTATGATATATATGGACAAGCCCAGAATATATGTTCTATTGTTTCAACCCCTCCGCACCCAAAACTACACGTATTTGTATCTTTAATTTTTATTCTAAAGGGAATTTTATTCGTACCTAAAATTCGATGTATTATTCTGTATTGAAACCACTGCAATTTTGAATTCTTTGTAATACAAAAGGGCAATACATGGATATTATTCAAATTGAAGTTTATATTGAGAATTAATGACCAAAAAGTCCTAAAATTTTTGCCAAATACATTTAAATGTCCCTCTCTGTTAAGCAATAAAATAATTTAAATTTTGAAACGACTGTGAAAATACATTAGAGTAGAGGAATAACAAAAATCAGTCCCTCTGTCTGATGGACATTGTATTATGTATCTATTTCTGAAATTCTTTTCGTGTCTTATTTGCTTTCGTGTTTTTTGTTTGTTTTTTGTTTTCAATTCGGTATTGTCGTTCATGTAAATTTAATCCAGGTATCACCGTAAGCATTGTTTGTTGAAATATTATGTTTACTTTTCTGTTCCTTTGTTAATTGGATCTAGAGAATAATGTATCTGATATAAACAGCTCAAACTTAAATAAGCACTAATTAAACATATTATCATATCTAGTAATAATTTGTTTGCTTTAATTGTTGATACATATCCGATGTATCTCTAATTTCAGATTTTTATCTTGAAGATATAACGACTAACACATCCCACTTACACGAAGACACAACAAAGACAGGTGCTAAACTAGAGTATGTTACTTCAATGAGTCAAGATGTTTACGCCATGGTGTCAAGATAAATCATCGTCGGTAAGCGAAGAAAATCTAAGACATGAACCAAATGAAACGCTAACGTCCGATACAACACAAGGAGGGTCACAATTGGAAAATGTAATAAGGCTGTCTGAACATCAATTTAAACCTCTGCCAGTTGACGTTGGTAGTATAGAGGAGAATATGATCAAAACTTTATCAGATGATGCGTCTGACAGGACAACAAAAACACAATACAACGATGACAATGATGAGACAGGCATACAAGACAAACTTCAGAAAAGCAGTTAGGTTCATTGATTACGGACAGGAAAAATTCAGATGGATCTCGAAATAGGAACTAACTAGTCCAACAAGGTTTTTTATCTGGAAATGAAAATACTGATTCGTCGAATGACAGATGACAGAGACCGTGGTGAAGCTTTTCTTGTTAATGGAAAACCAATTGATGACTCAAATGGTTTTCGTGCGAAGTCGGGTTTCTCTAGTGAGATGCATATAGAAACTGTTACTAAACCAGGGGTTATCAGAAAGCTGAAAAAGTCAAATTGTCAGTTACAAAAGAAAATGTTTTCTATTCAACTTATCAGACATTTTTAACATACAGAGCTATTTACATGATTGTATTGGATGGAAGTAGGAGACTCGATGATCCCTGTCCATATGAACAGTATCTCCCAGCAAGGGGTATTTATATAGATGCACATTTGTTTCCTCAATTACCAAATTGAATCTAATGCAATAATTGTTAAGTTAATTTACATACAAAATTCTAAAATAGTATTCCAAAGATTTTCAAACAAAGAATTGTAATTTTAAAACTTTTAAACATTTTCAAACTTTAATCCATCATTGCAAGATTTGGAAATCAAGTAGTTTATTTTTTAAACTGTAGAATCCATAGAGAATGTACATATTTATTTTCTTATATAATTTCCCATCAATGTGTAATTCGTACAGATTATCTGCTATTCTGGATCAACACAATTATAACATGCTGCAAGGGAAGTAATCAGGAATTTCCAAAAATTATGATTGTTTTAACGCACAAAGATCAGTTAAAAGCTGTAAGTATGTTGTAGTGCATCAAATAGTTTCCGTCAATTGAAATGAATGACGGTTTTGACTCTGATTTAGATTGTTGTTACGTAAAGAAATAAATAGTGTCTATTAAGAAGGAGAATATGTATTTTTTTTAATGCATTCGTTTTTTAATTGTTAATGTCT